TAAATAATGGTAAATGTAGCCACCACAGTCTAGGTTCAAATTCCCTCTTTGACTTATTAATAGCAATTCTTGTAAATAGTAAAAATAATTTATACTTTTACTTATTAAGAGTTTAAAGGGAGGATACTTATGTAAGTGAATTGAAAAGCATTCAAAGGTATTAATATAGTACTTTCATATCTTTACTGAAAATAAATTATAGAATAATCTTTGGTCTAACTGCTCTTTTTAGTACAGAAATTTAAAGCATATGCATTTTAGTATAAATGTGCATATGCTTTTGTATAAATGATTTAATTTCTTTATATACTTAACAAGGAACATGCAACTTATTCTTATTAGAACAAATATTTAATAGACAAATATTATAGAGTACTCTAAAATATTATACAGGTATTGTGGAAATATAAAAGGTTATTAAAATCATTACCCTTTGGAACTATACTTTCATATTGCAGATATGTCTTTAAGAGAAAAATGTTCCTTAATATACTGTACCTTTTATGTATTGGGAGATGGATTAGGTAATTTATATGGGTGCCATCCAGCACATATACTCTATTAATTATGTGAATTAACCACTGGGATAGTAGAAATATCAATTATTTATTAATTTATATTAGTAATGTATGATACTTTAGAAAAATTAATATATTTGTATCTACTAAATGTAACTGAGATGGATTGTCAATTTCAACCATATTGAAACCAAATGTGATCCTTTCTGTAAGAAGAATCTTATTTTCCCAAATTATCACTAATTTTAGGAGCATAGCAATCACTCAATGCAAAGAAAAAGACCAATAGGATGACATTAAAACATACTGCTCTTGTGAATTAGGAAAACACTCATTGGTATTGATGTTATACTGTCATTCTAGGAAACTCCCCAGGAAGATCCTCAGCAATGTTTGGAAGACATATCTATATGCAACCCCAGTCAAAAACCTATGGCTTGCTGAGGATGACATTTCCAATCATGGTATACTAATGCAGAATGAGATTCACAGCATAACACATCAAAGCAGGGCGCTTAGCAGCTACAATTTTCTGAATTCTGCGTGGGCTACTTAGTGTTCAGAATAGCCTGGACACGACTGTTTCAGAATGGGGATAGCAAGACCAGGTGACATCTGACCCAAGGGCATTTATTAGGTGAAGAAGACCCTATCCAAGACAGACCTCATTCCAATTCAGTAAAGTTTACCATGAGGGGAAGGGTTAAATTAAATTTTAAATTGGTGAATATGTTAAGAAACTCACCACCTTGCTTCCTCAGCTTCTTCAATAGCTTCCAAGGGTATTTAGCTAAGCCTTCAAATAAGAAACTCAGACTCTTATCTTCCTCAAGCCTCTCCTAATGCCTCAGCCTTTTCAGGTAAGAATTCCTGGCATTACCCCAAAGTGGACATTTGTGGTGTAGTACTTATCTTTCTGAAGGCCTGAGAAATCAATTTTTTTGGAGAAGGAATAAGAAGGCCTGGAGCTTTACTGTATAAGCATTCAGGGAATTTTTATGGAAGAAAGGGAGAAAATGAGGGAGAAATACAGAAAGCAAGTAAGAAAGGAAAAGGAAAGGAGGAAAGAGAAAAAGGTCCAATTAGGCCAGTATTACTGCCTGCTTTGCCGTCCCTGTCCAGCAAGACAGAGAAGGAAGCCGTGCAAGAAAAAATGTGCAAGTGCTTTAAAAGCTCTAAGGGCTTAAAATGCTGTACTGCCTGCCTCCCCCCACTTAGCGCCCCCTTTAGGTTGAATCACTGAAGCCTCATTCCTTCAGTCCCCAACCCCCTTTCTCTGTGGGTAGCTTCATCGGGAGGATTTCTATGAAGGTTGGAGACTGGTAGGCATCTTGGATGTGGGTTCTGCCTTCTAGGAGCCAGAAGAGAGCTGGCAGAGCCCACTGTGTGTTTACACTGCATCTTCCTCACTCCACTAGGTCCCAGTCCCTGCAGCTGCAGCTGTTTGGGAAGAGGTAAGACAGTAGGAGTGAGGATGGTGCCAGTAGTGTCTCTAAAGGCTGGATTTCCTGAGGAATTAGAACAGGATGAGGATGGAGATGGGCCTAGGCAGTCCTCAGACAGGAGCTGAAGATTCTGACAGACTCATCAGTTCTTTCAAAAATCTCCAAGGATTCAAAATTTGACTGAGATGCAGAAAAGGCGAGGAGGGCCAGATCTAACAGCCAATGAGGTGGGTATATTAGAGGTGAGAAGCAATGGAAAAGAGAGACACCTTACAAGGCAGAGAAGGGCTATGGAGTAAAAAGAAACCCTTGGGACTCTCTTAAAAGATGTGCTGGGAAGTAGTATTATAATTGAAGGCTTCTGAGGATGCTAAAAGTGTAGACAGCAGGGAACATTTCCACTCATCATCATGTTTTAATTGTTTATTTCATAGACTAGAAGTTGATTGACTTTTCCCTAGTTCCAAGACCCTGGGACTCAGTTTTCTCATCTGTAAAACAAAAAGTTTGCAGTAGATACTTTAGAAGGTCTCTGCTAGCTAACATGACCCTGCATAACCATCAGCCTATGAGTGCTAACGCCTTTGAGTTTCAGTACCAGATTTCCCCTTCCTCCCCCACTTCCCATTTGTCAATGCAGGGCAACACCTGCACCATTCATGGAGCTGATTCCAACTCTTAGTGATGACAAGAATATGGCTCAGTTAGGACAAATGATTGGTCCTTCTGCCCTGGAGTAAGGAAGGGAGGAATAGCAAAGGCAGTATGATTTCATTTTGGGTTTCCAAGGAGAGGGTGTTCTCGAATTTTCCATTTCAAATTTCATCCATTTAAATAAATTATAATTCCTTTGAGGGGTTCCAACTACTTGACTGACTAAAGGGCCAAAGAACACTATAATGATCTGCCCTATGTGGGTGAAAACTGATTTCATTTCAGCCCAGAAACTGGATCTGCTTTTCCCAAGGAAATCCAGCACACGCTGGCCATGCTCTTCTCCTGTCTGCCAGCCTCATGCCATTCTACCAACCTGCTTCCGTGCAGCATTTTCTGGGGTTATTAAACATGCAAGCTTAATCAGAGTGCACTCATGAATGAGGTGCTCAACCGTGCAGGACCGCACCTGCCCCACCACACACACAGGGAGGCAGTTCAGATGGTCCTGAGGATAAAACATGTTTTCACAAGACTTTCATTTTTAATCTGTCTCAACCTGAAATCCTTTAAAAATGTTTAGGTTAATATGTAGAAATACAACTCTCTTGCTGCTCTTGTTTTCAAGTGGGATGTGACACACAGTATACACTTGTGTTTTCTACACCCACTATTATTTCCATTTCATTTTAGTCTCCAAAATATGGTCAGGAGGACAACTCTAGAAAAATGGATTCCCACTCTCGAATCTCACAGGGCACTGATCCATGCAGTGCGGAGAACTCGCAGGGAGCATCGCAGTTTCCTCCCTCCCCTATCACCAGTGCCCCTGATTTCCACAGGGGGTTTGACCTTGCAAAGACCCTTCTTCAGTTTCTGGGCAAGGGACAATCCATTTTAACTCAAAACACAAAACGACCTTTTCTCCCTCAAAGAAACACTACCAAATGTAACACATCTGGGTATACATTTCTCACCCCTACATTCCAGAATGCGAACACGGGATGTGAAGGCAGGTAACTAGTTTAAGTCTGACAGATCCCATTCACAGACTCTGTCTCAGACTGTTCAGAATAGATGGGTGACTATGCGGTTGAACATTTTTTCTTTTTCTGCCCATTCACCATAGTGATGAAAAATCAAAAACGAAAAATTATCTACTCATTTCTAAATACTTAGAAATGTGCTTATTTTGCGCGTAGCTCCGTGGTTCTGAACACTAACATCCCGCCTGGAAACCAACCCTGATTGCCACACCATCTTGCTCACTCAATTTCACTTAGAAACACCTTCGCTGCTCTTCCACGGTGAGAAAAATGGTGCACCAACCGCCTGGCTGACAGGTTGGTACTTGACTGTCACCGCTCAATAGTTTTATCAGCAACCGGAAAACTTCACAACTGGCCAATTTGCTACTTATATCTGTGTAAGGAAATCCGCCTATTTATAGACTAAAATTTAAAAAACACCTCTGCTTCACCTTTCTTAAATGGAGCCCAAGTCAATCCCCCAAACACGCCGCATATAAACACTCCCCCTTCCCCCACCCCCATTATTCCAAAAAGTACCCCGTGGACGAACAACACATTCCGATCGCCAGCATTAACCAAAGCAATTGTCACCATGCATTTAGAGGCATTTATGCAAAGCAAAGTATGTGACAATAGCTAAAGCATCTCCCAGACAATTGGCTGCACTACACATGCAACGAAGGTTGTATTTTCCACTTACAGTCAGAGCGCTGCGCACGGTCACTTAACGAAAATGATAAAACTCAACAGTTCAGTTAAATATATATGTACGTAATTCGGACAAACGGTTAAGCTGCGTCTGCGTGCGGTTCTCTGGCGCTCTTATTTTCTCTGGAGCTCTAGGCTGCTTAAATCCCTTTTGGATCACGCCTTGCAAGCCCAGCCACCGCCGCAACAATCTCGGGTAAATCTCTACTGCAGATTGGGAATCCCATAGAAAACCTAGGGTCCCTGGAACTGGATGCGCAGGCGCGCGAGCCGCCGCCTCCCCAGGCACCCCCTTCCTTTTCACCTCCTCCCTCCTCCTCCAACTCCGCAGCCCCAGCTTGGAGAGCTCGGGAACCAGTGACCAAAAGCCGCCCGGCATTTGCGCATGCTCAGATGGAGGGGCTCGGAGTTTCCGCGGGTGGATTCCAGGTCTCCAGATTTTAGCGGAAACTCAAAAGGAAAGTAGATAGGAAAAGGCAGCCTGGCCACCCGTGCTGCTTGCACCTGGACGGGTTCTAAGAAGAGCGAGTCGGGCTCACCACGGCCAGCGGTTACCAAGTCTGGTGATGAAAGGCTGAGGGCAGAGATGGGACACGTGGAGCCTGCATTTCCCGCCGCTCTCAGCCCTAGAGGGCCCTGCTCACCCTTTGTCAGGCTGCAAAGTGAAGGCGAAAACTGCAGAAATCCTTTTCTCAGGAGGAAGCGGTCTCAGCAAGCTGTGAGCACGTCTGCCGGGCTCACTGTGAAAAAGCCCTGAATGGTGGGCACTTGGCGTGGGCCATTTCCTCTGAGGCTCTGAGGCTGGGAGTACTGGCCGCCCGGGCCTTCCAGTACCCCAGGTCCGGGACGGCCCTGGTCTAGCGCGGTTGGACAAACGTGTGTTGAAGGGAGCTGGGTCGGAGGCTTCTTGCTCTGTGTGTGTGTGACCTTGCGCAAATCACGATAACCATCAACAAACATTTCATAAGTGCCTCTGTATGCGCTTAATGTTTACTGAATACGCTTTGGGTAGGATGAGGATTGGGGAAGTGAAGGGGCGGGGATAAACCACTCTTGCAATCCAGGGTTGGTGGCTTGGACCAAGTGATTTATAAAGCCCCCTTTTGTGTCCTTGAAGGCCGCACACGTTTGCTAGCCCTCTCCCGCTCTTCACTGTCCTGCCAAAGCCTAGAAGACTTGGCAAGGAGTAGTGCACGGTGTTTGGTCGTTTCCCTACCAGGAAAGCAGGGAGAATTCCCAGTTGCTCCCAACCTGATCGGTTTCCTCAAGGGTTTGTACATTCATTCATACAACAATTTTGCATTGTCCGCCCACTTACTGTTAGGCACTACTGTTCCTATGCTTTGGGGATAAACGTAGTGAACAAAACCCCTCGAGGTTTAAATTCAGGTGGCAGTTTATTTTCAAGGGTGTGAAGTTCTGGGGGTGCACTGAAGATCAATGCTTACTTGAAGTAGAGAGTTTTACCATTTGCAAAGCGCCTTCACACACCGTAACAGTTCAGGGAAGCTGTAGGGTTAACCTCTGTATTCTGAGGACACCGAAAGCACCTCCTGACAAATCTCCCTTGCCCTGGGAGAGCTGCTCCTAGCTGCTAGGTGGCCGAGGCGGGGCGGGGAGCTCACGCTTGGGGTCACTGGAGTCTACTTAAGCGAAGGCTACGAGAAACTCCACCAGAGAAGTACCCGGCGGTGACGCCTAAGGCGCAGCTTCACGCCAAACCGGCCCGCCCGAAGCCCAGGAACGCGCTTCCCGATAGGCCAGTCGCCTGGGGAAAGAGACGAGGTGAGGGGTGCGAGAGCGCTCTCGGGACTCCCCAGGCACTGCTCGCTGGGGTCCGCTCCCCGCGGGGCTCTGCGCCTGAATGCTGGTGACCGCGGAAACCCGGAATGCGGAGCTATGCGGAGCTGGACGCTCGGCTCGGGCGGCCCTGCCGCAGCCGAGCACGTTCCAAGTCTGGCTGCGCGAGCCCTGCGCTCCCGGGCCGCAGTGCGCACTGCGCAGCCGGGCTAACCAGGCCAGTTTCGTCTGTTTCTTCGGCTGAGGTGGGGGCAGAAGTCAGTTCTGCCCAAGTCACTTTGGTTGCCTATGGAGACAGCCTCCAAAGCTTTCAAAGTAATTTTCCGTGTTTTGTCGATTACCCCCTCTTAAAGCATTTTGCGCTGGGCTCTCTGGTTCCTCTCTCAAGAACGGTTTCCGCTCTACCATCTGCATCACCCAAGGGGTCATAAAGCCATTTCTGCCTGGAAGACGCGTACCTAGTGATTGCGCCTTGGAGGTCTCTTTCGTGGCAATGTTTTGTTTTAACTAACTTACTTCCAACTTGAGTTTGGGAAAAAATGAACACATACTTTAAAACGTGTTTTATTGTGGCGATATTTGACTTGGATACATGTGCTTCTGTAAAGCAGTCTTGTCTAATGGGGAAGGCTGTTTTGTTTAAGTTCTGTTTGTACTGAAACGTTGTTTGGCATCCTTAATATCTTCATTTTTTATCTCCAGCTACTAATGCAGCTTTATCTTCTTAAGTTCTAATATTATGTTTCTTAAAAAATTTTTTTTTGAGGTGTCTTCTAGTCGAGTTTTATATGAAGCATGAAGTCACAGGAGGCAAGCTTATTTTAAAAGACACCAAAGGAATGTTACCGTTTAAATTATGGAAAAGCACTTCCACTTTTAAGATGGTAGAGTGAAGTTTAAAAGAGGAATGTGGTAGGGGGACTAAAACATAAATGAGCCCTCTCTTTCTTTCCTTATTCAGGCATTTGCACAAGTCACTGGTGGTCACCAAAGAGCAGAGGTGCACTGCTCTGCTAGGCACACTGGGACATTGCACCGTGTTGAGTGAAGAACGCCATCAGCTGTAGCAGTTGTCCCATTACTTAAAGCCCAGTCCGCAACAATGCGGACCGACGGTACTGTCAGCTTTCCCACTCTGGAGATTTTTGGGGCTGGGGTAAGTTTAGAAAAGGGATGAGGAGGGGAGGAAGGTGCCATGGTGGAGCGGGGGAGAGGTGTGTTTTCCTGGAGTACCTGGTAGAGTCCTCAGTTGCCCAGAGGCAACTGAGGAGCCATTTTCCTTTCCTCAGCTGCAAATTGTATTATTTTCTGAAACGAACTATTTCTACCTCACTCCTTCCAAGATTCAAACAAACAAAACAAAACAAAAAATGACTTTTTAAGTATACACAACTTCATTTAATACCTCAATCCACTTTAATGGTGGCATAGACAAGTTGTAAACTGAGAATGACAATAAAAGTGCAAAATGCCAATAGTGTAACAGGTCTAAGCTTGTAGTCCTGTGAGCTCACAATTTAATATTAGGTATCTTGTGTACAAAGTAGAACTAAGAATGGTGGAATGTAAGGCATGGGGACTCTCTTGCCAATATGTTTCAGCTCTGGACAAGTTCACTATGGATTCAATGAGACCAAAGAAATGAGAGTAGAACATGCTTGGGGTGAAAGGGTTATACCCAACTTTATTTCCATGGTGGCCAGTCAATCATTAGAATCCCGTCCATTCAGAGCGTGTCTACCTGCAGCAAGCCAGCCTCTGCCTCTGGGCCGCTCTACCCCTGCAGCCACCTCAGCCTCTGTCCTTGGCCCTGCCACGGCTCCAGCCTCTTCTCTGCTCCCCTGCAGCCTTGTAGCTGTGCCACCGTGTTGCCCAGAGCACTGGGCGGAGCCCTTTATATACAGTCCATAACAACGTATTGCTCACACAGGTGTAGTGAGCTAGCCAGTCAGGGCCAGGTGAGAATCCTGGCCACAGGAACCTTCACTTTACCCACAGGGACATTTAGGAAATTAGAAGAAAAATTAAGTGTTCGAAAGTCAACATTAGAAAATGAAAAGAGGAATTGGAAAAATGGATTTATATTCATTTAAATTCACACAGAATAATGCTAGTAATTTTCTTATATGGGTAAAGTGTCTTTATTTTAAAAAACAAAGGGTATTAACCCTTATAGAGGAGATACATTATGTAAGATAATTATGTTTGTCTTGAATTTTTTAATCCCATTTAAAAAAATACATGGAGAGACTAACAAACTATAATAACTTCCTATAAAGTCAAACAGGAAGTTGTCATTGTGGAGAATAAGACTGTGCAGCAGTTTTTCTGACACATGAAGTGTTTCATTGTATATGTTTGTATTCCTTCTACATGATTTTCTAAAGTAAATGGAAAAATGCAAGGCCATGAAGGAATGATTCCCATGCAATTAAGTGGGAGAGTTCTATGCCTTTATATACATACGTGGGATTAAAAAGTTCTAGTTTGAATGGATTTCATTGGTCAGTTCTCCCAGTCCACCCCTGATTTATCTCTGTAATTCATGATCAAATCTAAATTGCGTTTGAAACCTCACTCTTAGTTGTGCCACCAGTTTCCCTTAAAATTTGAAGAAGTCACAATAAAAGTTTCATAAGTCCTTGCCAAGTGAATTATTGTGAAGGCTTTGAGTTTCCTGGTAGTTTCTTGGGGCCTTAGAAATGGTCATAGCAAATGCAGGGGGTCTACGGCCTTAAGAATAGAAGATGCTTTATTCTTTTCTCTCTTCCACATTTGGGCCTAACCTATGGATTCCTAGCAGTGCTCTCAAGTTGGAAATGTTCACCATTTTTGTTACTGACAACACAAAAGAATGGATGATAGTAGAACTGGACTATATATCACCCCTATTTCTTTTCTTCAATGATTTTTAAGTAGTTCTTTATGCTAGGCTGTACTCTTTTTTAATTGTGTGAATAGCCACTGCAGATATAATCATGGATTTCATATTCTGGTACGTCTGTACTTTGGAGGGAAAACTTCTGATCTTGAAGGGTTTTCAAAAGCCTTTCTTGCCTAAAGCAGATCTTGTGGACTTGTTTCTTCCTTCAATCTCCATTTTCTTTAATATTGCTCATTTCCATTTTTAATGAATCTCTGAAACTTAACAGAGAATCTTAGCATAAAATTTAAGGCAAAATAAAAATAAATTCTACACCCTCTCTGAGGCAATCAACAAAAACAAAAGATTTCCTTAATTGGGTTTGTATTTTCACCTATTTCATGAAGGAAACAAATAGGGGGCCCCTGCATTTTTTAGTGTTCTTATCATATTCCCCTTTTAAAGTTCATTTTACCATCCTAAGGAGGTTCAAGAAGAGAATGATGACCATTGAAAATCTTTGATTTTTTTCAGAATGTAGTTTTGGGAGGATGGAGTGCACTGATTTTTAAAAAGATTTAAAAAAAAAAAAGAGCTTGAGTAACTAATGGTGATGTTTTATAGTGGAATCAGGTTAAATTCTTTTAAGTCTCATTCATTATTCATTTAGCAGATACCTATTGAGCACCTGCTTTGTGCCAGGCAGTGTGCTAAGCACTTTATATGCAGTATGCCATTTCACATTAAACAACCCTGATTATGTATGAGAGAGGTACTAGTATAACCCATTTTACAGATGAGGAGGAAACTGAAGCAATGTATGTGTTAGTATTATCTCCAGATGCGTTCTTCAGTTAGCTTCAATTTCTCCTTCTTCACCCCCTTATAATTAATGTTATGATTCATCCTCTATAAATTACTGCTTTTTTATCCACCTAATATAGCTATGCAAGATAAACGTTGTGAATACTGTGATCACATCATTTCTCTTCAGTAGTCTCCCATTTCCTTTGAGAAAGCTAAGCCCTCAGTCATACATTCAGAATCTCCCCCCCATGTGGTAGACTGCTACATGTCTGCCTTAACCACCAAGCATCTGTTTTTGTGGGGTGTTGCAGGGAAGGAAGGAAAGAAGCCCACAACGAAGTGTACCTTTCCCAGCGCTCTGCATTGCCATCTCCTGCCTAAAGGAGAAAAGAAACAGAAGACTCCCTGATTTTTTTGCTGTTCTAACAAAATTTCT